TGTGCAAATGCTAAATGTAATGCACATTACATAACAGTTTTCAGGAGGTCGGCCAATCTAGAGGATGAGCTCCGAGGTATATTTACAGGAATGACCTTGCGGACTTTCCTCGAGGGAAGAGAGTATCTCTGGAGGGTCTTAAGTATGAAGCTGGCAGTACTGAGAAGTACTTTGAGGTGTTGAACTGATTTCCTGAACGATTGAGGCATCTACAGAGTCTTCTTATGAGGGATATACCGACATATTGGGTAGTCTCGGGGGAGGGTCTTCCGGCTCTGGGTATATGAGACTGAACAAGCAGTAAAAGCAATGAAAGTACTTCAACTCAGGCTACCTCAGGCCCCCATAAAGCAAAAATTACCCTAAGTAAAATAGGGATGCGAGTACCAGCTGAACTAATTAAATAGCATGATTTTATTAATTAATTAAATTTATTTAAACAATTGAAATAAATATGTAATTTTACTCGAGGAAAGCATTTTAAAAGCACTTTTATGCTACATAAGCCTTGCTGAAGCCCAAAAAGTATATTACATATTTTTTACATTCCTAGAACATAATTCAGGACAGAAATTGTTAAGGGATATGGTGAAGGGATCTTAACATGTGAAGTACTTCTAACAAATTAGTGTTTAATTGTTTATTTATCGAGGAGTTTACGAGAACGAAAGTCAATGGAAAGTATAGGGTGTTTCACAAAAATGTTTACCATTTTGAATTGCCATAATTTCTTTATTATAATGAACAATCGCTTCATACAGAAACAAAATCGCAGGGAAACTCCAAAATTTTTGTTTTACCGGAAAACAAGTGCAAAATGAGGACCTCTAGCTGCAGAACAACTTCAAAGACGTCGAGAGAAGTTTTGTACGCTGCCTTCAGTACTTCCTGCGGAATGCCTCGAATTGCCCGTTGATTCGTTCCCTTGAGTTCTGCAATATCTGGCATGTTCTGAAAGGCTCATTCTTTGCTGTATCCCTACGTGTTAAAGTCGAGTGGATTGAGGTCTGGGGATTGCTCCGGCCAATCAATGTCATCTCAGTGAGAAATTAGCCACCAAGCGAATCTCTCCCTCAGCCACTCAAGACAAATGCGGACAGTATGGCAGGGTGTTCCATCTTGCTGGAAACAATTATTCCATTTGTGCATATCAAGTATCACTAAGAGGACATTTTTCTGGCCGAAAGTGCATTACAAACTGAATTTTTTTCCAGCAAGATGGGGCAACCTGCCATACTGCCCACATTTGTCTTGAGTGCCCTAGTAGCACATAACATTGATTCAACATGGATTCAACTTTTATTCAACGCCCGGATGTTGAATCAACATTGAATCAATGTTATGTGCTACTAGGGTGGCTGAGAGAGAGATTCACTCGGTGGCTCATTTCTCAGCAAGATGACATCGAGTGGCTGGCAAGATCCCCCAGACCTCAATCCATTCGACTTTTACCTGTAGGGATACAGCAAGGAATGAACCTTTTAGGACACGCCAGATATTGCAGAACTCAAGGGAACGAATCAACGGACAGTTCGAGGCATTTCGCATGAAGTACTGAAGGCAGCGTACAAAACTTCTCTCGACGTCTTTGAGGTTGTTCTGCAGCTAGAGGTCCTCATTTTGCACTTGTTTTCCACTGAAGTTAGTATTATGGCACGAAGAAAACTCATTTACCTTTTTTTGCAGTGCTCGTTTTCTACTGAGCATGACTTGTGCATTTGGTGCACTTTGCAGGGGTGCTCTCTTCTGCGAGGAATCTTTCCAAAGGTGAGTCGGATATCGTTCTCCACTTGCAGCCGCGAACGAAACTTTTTTTTTATGGAAGTCAAAGCAGAGAATCCTGTTAGATTTTTTATATTTGATAGCGAAAGGAAGTAGCGCCCGTGTCGCCTTCTTTACAGAAGGGGATATTTTTTGAATTGAGAGTAAGGTGGAAGGAGAAGGAAGGAGGGGAGACCCGCAGGTAGAAGTGTGCAAGGGCTGGGCTTATTCGATTTCTCAGGATTGGCATATGCGGATATAGCTTTTCTATCGTGGGAAACTTGTCGCGACCCACCTTGAAGCCCTTCGCTACCCACAGTTTGGGAACTGCTGTTGTAGAGCAGTGTTTCCCAAACGGTGTGCCGCCAGTAAGGCCCTTTAATGCATGATTTTTTTTTATGTACCAAAAACATTTTTTTAATGATCATATCTTTTCTTGTGGTTGATGAGAAAAATAATGAAAAAATTATCCTTAAATTGTGGTTTTCCGTTGGATTGTAATGGATTTCAAAGCAAAGCAGCAAACTGCATGGCGTGCCAGATATGGCACGCCATGCAGTGTAGGGTTAAGTGTGCCGTGAGATTTGAGATTTGACAACAAAAAAAAACTAAAACTAAAAAGAAAACTTAAAAACAAGAGGGAATGCCATCTCTCAGTGGAAAACGAGCAGAGTTGCACTATCACGCCTCGTGTCAACCTGCTGTGTTCAGCGAAGTAAGCACAAGTTTCCCATTGAAAGTAAGTAAATGACTGGGTGTGCCGTGGAAAGTTCAAGTGTCCTTATGTGCGCCGCAAATAAAAAAAAGGTTGGGAACCATTGTTGTAGAGGACTGTCCGAATCAGAACGGAAATTCAGAGCTTGTTAGAAGAGACCCCTTCACGTGTTAAGAGCCACTATAGCCGGAATAGCCAGGAAAGAGAGGTTCTTTGAGACGATGGGCCAAGTAGTCAGAAACAGGACGTGGTAGCCAGGTCTTCTCACAAACCATGGATGGTTTGTGAGAAGACAGCCTTTAGTGTGCCAAAAGCTAGAATATCCAGTGGAGATAGGTGTGTTGAGATAATAAGCTGAAGTACACAGCAATAACCAGGAATATTTCGACCAAAAAAGGTGATGAGAGGACAAGCCTGGGTCAAGAAAATTCGGTACAAACCAAACGCGAATGCTACCCGTGCTAAAAAGCGAAACATTTTTGGGGGAGGGGGGGTGGGCAAAGGCCTCGCACAAGTTTCCAGAAAATATAGAGAAGCTCAGTTGGTTTATAGGAATTTAGCACCTTATTGTGGAAAGTCCAAAGAACAATGTCTCCAGCAAACCATGTCACCATACCCTACCGTAGTCCAGAAATCACCTAGCATAGAGGTCACGAGCTGGTTAAAAATTGTCATGGCTCTATACTTTCACCATTCTCGGCACAGCAATTCCTGGGCTGGGGAAATGACCTCAGCAGATGAGGTCACCCCAAAGAACATTATATTTCAATATTAATCAACGAATGTCTCATGATAATAACTTGTTTACTGTTCACCATCAGGAGAGACCAGAGGGAAACAAGGGCTCGAGAAAGGTAGAGAAAGTTGGGAAGTCATAGGGTGAGTGTTGGGAATGTCGGCGTTCAAAACAAAATTTTCACGTTGTCTGGTGGTTTCTGTAATAGAGCTTCCTCGTTCACGTCGGTTCGAGTCATACCTCTATTGTATACCTCCTTGTACCGTACACCTCGAGTGCCCTGGGTCCTTCCTTCCCGAGGGCCTAGGTCAAAGGTGAAGTTGGGTCGGATGTTGGAAATCTCGGCCCACCTAAGTATCACTGTTGTTTACAATGGACTCCAATATGAATGAAACGAACTGATAAAACGATACCTAGTGTGGAAGAGAAGAACGGAAATGTGTAAAGCATAGCAAAATTACAAGATTTTGCAGGATTTTCAGAGTGCACTAAGAGACGGCAGCTAATGCGAGAAAACTACAACAGTAATTAGGGCTGTTCCAAGCACATATCAACATTACTTCCACCATCTGAGAATGGATTTCTTTTCGAACCTAGGGAACTGGCAGTGGAAGCAGAAGGTTGAGGATAGCAAAGTGCCGAGATTACCCACAGTGCCGACATTCGCACCAATAACCCTAGTAGCTTCTTAGCTCACAGAAGACAAATAATTTCTCCGTATCGAGAGCGGGAATCCAACACATTCTGGGTTGTGGCTTCTCTTTCAATATTGAATAAATTAGCATCATAGTTAAATAAATTTTATTCCTTAGTTTACAAAAAATTGTATCATTTTCCCCTGGGGACTGGACAGATGGAAAACGAGAACCTGGAGCCTACCACAAGCACACTGTAATCACTCACGCTTTCTGCCTCTCCTTATTGAAAACTTAATGAGAAGCTTTCATTATTATTCATGCGCCATCTATACATTGTTGCTCATTCGATAGTTCACAGAAAAACACGGGCACACCTGACTCTTCAAAATTCTTTAAAATGTATCCTCCTGAGGGTCTATCAAACTCTATTATTTCTACTAAAGAGCTTACAAAAACAAGATTAATTGGGCATTGAGTTTTCCAGGCTGATCATATAACAGTGGCGGCTCCCGATATGCAGCAGTAGTAGTTCGTCAGTGGAGATAGGGGAGGCAGACCTCTCTTCTCTGTCCACACTGACGAATCATTACTGCTGCATATCACGAGCTGCTACTGATGCATAGAAGTAGCTTGACCTATGCATTTCTTAACAGAAATGATATACGAGGCATAAGAGACATCACATTTCAGCAAGTGGCATGGAAGCATGTCATAATGAAATTAAAAGCAGTTTTGAGTTTCAAGCAAGAAAGAGATTACATGAAGACGATCGTGATATTGGAAAAAAAGAGGACAACTTGAATGTATTCACCCTGAAACAATGGTTGGCTTTTCTTGATTTTTCTCTTCTACCATCTTCAGACGGTCTCAGGCTATTACAAAAATCCGCATAGATTCCAATTTATTCCATTTCCGGCGAAACAGCGGAACTATAACACTCCCCAACTATGATAAGAGGAATAGCACAAACAATATAGAACCTAGCACGCGAACAGACTTGCGAGAAAGGCAACACAATCAAACATTGTGCAGAGGAAGACAGTCGGTCCTCATGACCCGACTGCCGACTGCGGCATAAAAGTTGAAAAACCTTCTACTCCAGGACAGAACAGTTCAGAGAAGACTAATGATCCTCTTGACGATAAATAGTTTACGAGTAGATGGTGATCATTTCCCGCCCGCTACCACGTGCCATCAACACTCTCTCCAGGCCTTCTGTCAAGACCTCCAAGAACTCCATGTCTGGGAAGATATTAGTTCAGGAAGAATGGAGAGTGGTTTGGCTTTAAGTGCATTTAAAATATATAGCATATCTTGAATAGTGAATTCAAATTGACATCGAATATAGTACACATTTTGGAAGTCTTCATACTTCACTGGAGCAGAGTTGAATTTAAAATATTTGTTGCAAGCCAAGAGAATAGCCTACTCTTTGGTACTGCATGCATGAGGGGGAGGCATGCTCCAAAAGTACTAAGAAAGATTTCATTACTGAGATATGACATAAAACAGCCATCTACGCCCAAGGCAGTAAACAACGTTTGGCCCAAATTGGCTGAGAGTGGAGGAGCTTGGGTTCATCGCAGTGGGCAGCCCATATAGGCCCCACATCGGCATTGGGACGGCAGCCAACATTTTTCATGTCTCAGGATGAGACATCTGTCTCAATTATTTGAACAAAAAGCTTCCCACCGATGGTGCGAGATAGAGCTTATGTAACCGCTATTTCAGGGGGATTAGGGAGTGACTCGTTAATTGTAAGACCTCAGTACTTTTCATGCGGTACTTGATAATTTCCCACAGAAAACGGGAGGGAAGACACTCGAATTTCTCAAATCATTTGTTTAGACAGGTTAAGCAGTCCAAGAAGACCTCCTGTTAATCGTGGAGGAGGCATGGTTCAAATAGGACTTCCCTCAATAGGGTGAGGAAAAGGAGATCAGTTTCAATTGTGAAGGCTACGTCTGCCTCCCCTTCAAGGGTTAGTATTAATAGATTCGGGTGTGATAGATATGATGACTCGAGCCTTACTGGACAAGCACTTCCATAGCGGGAAATAAAGTGATAAATGAAATCACAACGGGGCTCAAATCCCGTGTGGAAAGTGAAGGCCTCAAAAGATGACAATCGGAGGAAGTTCTCTCTGGAATACTTCCAGACCGAGAGCGACTCGGCGACAGGGTCCCCGGAAGGGGAGCTGAACAAATGTACAAATATAGATTCTCATTCGAAACCTTTTTAAATTGCCTGAATGTCATGCGGCACGTCAGCATTTGACGTTGCCCCAACGTGGATCCGCGGGACAAGCCTACAAGGGACCAACGTTGCTTCCCAATGATGGGCCCACACAGCAAATGTGGAATTCCAACATAGGTCCAACGTTGGCCGAAGGTAGGTGTGCTGCCGGGAATTATTATAATTTAACTAATGTAAAAACGTCTGGCATAATCACACCAGAAAGGTCATTTTGAAGTGTGTGGATGTTAGTCAATCCTAATGTGACTCCAAAAAGTTGACAGTCTAGCTTAACTAGGTAAAAGTTGTTCAAATAACGCAATTTTGTGAACACCTAGCAAAAAAGTAAAAAAATGTGGGAAAACCACTCTTCCAACAATGGGGATCCGTACGGAAAGGTCGGAGTAAATGGCAGCACAATGCGCATGGGTTCATATTGTTCTCAAAGGAGGCAAACCTGTTTCGTACTTGTGGGTTGTGTATAAGCCATAGATTCTCATGACTTCAAAATATCAGCGCACGACAGTGCGAGAATTGCAAGAACTTCGAAAAATAAAAATATTCAGGAAAGGCTGCTCTAATGACCGGAAAGCGCATACAGATGTCGGTCCATGCCTTGAACAAGCCCATCATAAGATCACAATAGATAGCCTACTTGTTATCCTTGTTGCACCCCTGCACTGGGTCATGAGCAACTTTGAGGCCTGTCATGAAGGCCTAACGTTACGACACACGAAGAGCTTCAAATCTCCATTGACCCAGAGAAACCTAGGTCTACAATAATGATGCTGACTTGTCAAGCTCTTGCAGAGCTATGATAGGTGTGTTGCAAATGGCAATAGACCCATTATGGGCGTTTTTGTGACTAAGTAGAAATCTCATCATTTATCATCAGCTGAGGCACTATAAATATGGAAGGGTTTTTCACGATTGGCCGAAGATAATTTGCTGGACATATTCCTTTTTCAAGGTTGCTTGCTTTGGATGCCTTAGCAGAAGGATCAAGTGAAAATTTGAGACGCCCATGTGACTTAACTGATGAGTCTCAATGATGATGAAAACATGGGGAGTGTAAGATGCAGTGACTCAAGTGAAAAAGGTAACTTGTAAGAAATTGATTATTTTTCGCCCCATGTCAATAGGGTGAGGCCAGAGGGCAATTTGAATGGCTAAAATAAGCAAAGAGCTTTGATGCGGTTATTCCTTCGGGAAGCAGCTTGGCTACATCTAAATTCAACTATATGACAGCCAAGTAAGCTTAACCCTTTCAGACCTGAATTAAGGCCGCTATCGGAATATTATCCTTGTTTGCATTTTTAAGCTATTTCGTGATTGTAATTGAAATTTTCATGCTTTATATGTAGTTTTTATATTTTGTATAAATTTACCATATCATACCATATATTATACATTTAATTAAATAACTGAAGATTACAAAACTAATGGAACTGAGCGATGCATGATTGCGCCCATTGTAGCATAATATGGAGCGCAAAGTCACGAGAATCCTAAGAAATTGCCTTAGACACAATGTAAATGCGATGTCCATTGGAATGGACGCCAGGTCTGAAAGGGTTAAAACCAATGCTGTACATGCCCTTAATGCTAGGCGGGAAGGAGCCTCAATAGGAACGTTATATCTTTCATGCCAGTAATATCTTTTATTTATTTATTTATTTTTAAAATAAAATGGGCCTATCTCCACCTCAGACGATTTCAGAACACTGGATCCCTGAACGAATCGAATTCTGTCTTTATCAACTGCCCTGACTTCCCGCGCAGCGAGATAACATGTAGACATGAACCCATGCATGCTGTGCCGCCATCTGGTGGGAAATATTTCTGTACAAGTCCCCATTGCAAAAAAAGAGAAGCAAGGACGATATGAGTGTGATCTGGAAGAAAAAGGATACAATTCAAGTCCGAGTTTCTCTTGATGGCCTTCGGAGGCTCAGGCAAGTTCAAGACTACCAATTGGGCCTCATGACTTCGGGAAAGAATCACTCCATTTAGCTTTGAAGCTGTGTGCATTCTACGCACATTGGCCTTCGTCCTGTGGAACCAGAGAAAAATTGATTCACCTAATTAAACAGCTTCCGGTTTCAACCATAGAAGTTCAACTCACAGTTTTCGCTTCACGGAGGGGGTATCAGATTTTCTTTCCTTTATACCCTCATGTTTCATCTCTTCTATGGGGATCGGAGAAATTTTGTTTTGATCCAGCTCGACAGCCTTACCGTCTATGTGATCATTGGCCATGTTCTGCTTCCAATTCAGCACGTATAGAGAGAATTTGCAGGAACTCAATCGAGAAAAAGTCTACACAAAGATCTCACCTTCTCTGAAGAGTCAGAAGGAGAAGGAGACGATGCTGCCTCCACCTTCCCAAGGGCTTGAATTGGAGTTTCTCCCAAATGAAATAAACCCTTGGATTCCTTCTGGTCTTCATCAAGTTCACCTTCCAGATCTCTGATGTGTTGAATCTGTTCAGGGATGGACTTACTGTACTTTTCAACTGGACCAATAATGAACAATTATCTGAAAATATCACAGACTAGGGCTCTCCACTCCACATTCCATTGTAAGTATTTCGCTATTTAGATGTCTGTAAGGACTAAAACGGTGAAGAATAACTCATCCTAACAAACCGGCAGAAAAAGCATGGATAAATATAGCATCGGCAACATTATAGAGTAGTTTTAGGCAAGATCTATTTATACAGGTCAATGATCATAAACCTTCTAATCAGTGGGGAAGAAATGAAGGCATCCAAAATTGTCGCACTCTGATAGGACTTCATCTATGGGTCGAAGGAAGTGCAATATACAGTAATTACAATGGACTTTTCTACCAGTCCATATTCCAAAAGATTTAGACTGGGCATTGCAGTATTGCCCCTGACGTCTGGCATCACCAGCAGAAGGATTACTTGAGCCCAACTAAAATGAGAGGGAAGGGATCCAGGAAAATTGTATTATTAAATTACAGAATAATTTGTTTCCACTGGATATTTTATCTTAACAATCCATTACATATAGCCATGCTTGCTTCATTAATTCTACTGATGAGCATGGAGGTTTAGGCCCGAATTGTGAAACCTCCTTTAGTTTCATTCATCAAAACTGTGTAACATCTCGAAGTTCTACAAGTGGGCATGAAAGCAATGAGTAAGAGAAACTGATAAGAAGAACTGTCCGTATTGTTGAATGAGTCCCTTCACCAAATTTTGTCTTTAATTATACGTATTCAATCCTTGCCTGTGCATTAGAGATCCTAACGCTAAGCTCTTCTCCGGAAAATATATAAAATTTTAATTAAAGAATTACTCCCACCGGCAATGAACGTGATCACAGCCATACAGCATGTTCCGTGTCGCCATGGACTCCGCCTCCTGGAAATTCCATGGAGTTTCACAATTATTACAATAATTATTCCCGATTCTTTGCCCCTCGTAGAGATGAAGCAGTGAACAGGCATATGGCCTTTGACCAACTACTCTAGCGAAGTAGGGGCGAGATACGTAACAAGGACATAGGTTTTCACATTGATGATTTCTTTAACATTTTAAAATGAATATTTGCCAATAATCCCATCGAAGCTATGGGATATTACTTGAAAATACAGGTCCTCAGGAAGCTGAATGTCGTTTTTCTGCAACTCATCATGTCCTTGACGTCAGGTAGGATGGATATATTATTCATTATCTGTCGGCATAAAGGCATGGTGAATGCAACTCAGATGGATAGGTCAGCAGGAGACTAGGAAGAGCTCTCCAACAAAAGACGAGCAATGTGATGAAGAATAATACCTAAAGTATAACTAGATGAATATAACCACCCAGAAAACTTAAATTCTCGAAAGTAGGACCATAGAGAAGGACCTCTTTGGATACCTCAAAGGGCAACTGTAAATTGAATGGTTCACCTCCAGTACACTGCTCAGATACACAGTTGAAGTAGTAATTGTTGCAGATAATGTTCCGATGGGAATGTTCCTAGAAGCATCTTTTAGGTCGCCTGATAGGTTTGACCCAGCCATTATGCCTAAGAGGGAGAACATGCAAGCAATCTCTGAGTATCAGCCGATCCGCATTTAATATACTCGTACATAGAATAACCCCGGCTGCAGCGACGTAACGTTGGGGGGGGGGGGGGGGGGGGGGTTCGTGCCGTCCCACTTTTCAAGAAAATAAGTAAAAAAATGGAAGGAAAAGATCCAGAAATGCATAATAGTTTTCCAGTGTTCCGTGCCATCCCCACTTTGTCCTGTGCCCCCCCCCCCCTCCCTATTATGTCCTGTGACCCCCCGCCCACACTTTTTCCATCCACGTTACGATTATGCCCGGCCGCACACTTACGTTGGGCCAACATTGTGTCTATGTTGGAATTCCACATTTGCGATGTGGGCCCAACGTTGGTTCCCGACGTTGCTCGCTCCCCCAGTAGCAGCACAATGTTGGATCAATATCGGCTGCCAAGGTATATACATCTTGGCTCAACATTGGCACCCACCTCGGACGATTATTAGGATTACTACTGGGCCTCTTGCTGGACCAATATTGGCGTTAATATTTTCTCTAAATTCTTCATCCAGTGGAGTTATTCCTTTGGTATAGGCATTTCTATTTGCAGTTCTAGAACGGCCTGTACGGCCGGTACCTTGAAAGGTAGTAATAATAGTACATTTCAGGGAGGACCCCTCCTTACTGTTCTACAGTGTATCTGCAAATTCAGTCCCTCGTTTCTTCATTAAGTCCTCGGGATGAGAAAACGGAGGATACAGCCCGCGGATTTTCTTAGTTTCAGTATACCTTTATGGTCATCCACTTTTTAAAATTTTATTATTATTATTTTTTATTTATAAAGAATAGGAGCTAATGGGGGACTGGCCCCTCTCCCTGATGGTGGGTACACCAGGGGTCCCGCCAGTCCCAGCGAAACCCTCCTGCGAACGGGCTGGCAGATGCAAGACCCCCTCGAAGTTGATTTAGACAATGGGAATGGTCCCCATTGTCCCAGTCGGAGACCCAGGTTTCTCCTGTCTGTTTTACTGACTACTCATTAGTTAGGACAGTTGCAATAGCAGCCTAGAAAAAGTTTAGACCTATTCATTAACTTCTAAAGAAGGACGACAGGTTGGGGCTATTTTAGACCCACTTTTAAAGATTATTAATTCCTACCTATTTTAATACTGGCTCTATATAAGTTTTAGGTACCTATCAGGTGCCCCGAGAGCTACTTGGGATTAACAGGTGCCAGCTGTTAAGAAAACACTATCAGGCTCCCTGCTTGTCCTAATAGATAGAGAGGATAGCTGTTTAATAAGGCGGATCAGCTGGAAAGAGAGAGATCCTACGATTAACGCTGAGCCTTAATTGCTGGGGGATAGAAGCGATTAGGATAGTTTTGGCTGCAAATATGTAAGGGGTGGATCAAATAAAAATGCCCTTGATGGGGTATCTGTACTACTGGATGAGTTGAGGAGTGACGGATTGGGAATGGCCTAAAAAGCGGCCGGGGGACAAAAGAATGGTCAAGGGGGTGGTGGGGGTTGGGGGGAGCATGGCTGAACAGTTGAATCACTTGAGAGATCATCAAGTACATCAGAGATATAATCATCCCAACTGGTGATACGACGGCGTATGCTGAAGATGGGATATTCAGCTCTGAACGCTCGTCGTCGTCCTTGCCGTACGTTGTCAGGTATTTATGCACATCCTCAGGGCAAGTGTCCTTCTCATAGAAAGAAAGCGCTAGTTCTGAAGCGTACGCGTCACGAGGTGTAAGGCCACGGACCCTATAGATGTAATCGGAGGGGTAGTAGCGTGGGATTCGATAAGCGAACTTAATCGCAGCCCGTTCGATGCATGCGAGTGTGTCCAAGATGGAGTTGGGGACACTGGCCCAGGCCACAAATCCGTACGTTAAAACTGGACGGATGAAGGCCTTATACAGATGCATGATAACATTGGGTTCACAACCGTTGACACACGAAAGCAGCCTCAGACAATTCAATTTACGAATTGCCTTTGGGCATAACATCTGCACTTTCCGTAAAAGGTTCCCAGAGAATATGAGCTTGTTTATGGCCTGGACTCCATGATCCTGTCTCGAATATGCGGATAACAAATGATGAAATGTCCGAGTTTATTGTTTGCTATAAGAGACTAGGCGAGACATATGGCGAGGTACTAAACACTCCTGTGAGAGACGATTATAGAGAAAGGGGGAAGGGTACTTCTGTGTACTGTGCGAAAAGCGATACCTTTATCTCCATCTAGTGGCCTGAAGGAGAACTTCAGCATATCCCAAAAACTTTTAAGCGCGGTCAGGCATATTGGATCATCGCGTTCGTCCAATATTGAATCGATGTTGGAATGGCAATATTGGAGGAGCCAATGCTTAGCCTATATTGGCAATATTGCCCAAGATGTAGCGAACGTACCCAATGTTGGTCCAGCATTGAGCCAATATCTGGAGCTACTAGGGTCATAGGCTTGTCCCGCGGCCCCCCTGTAGGCCAACGTCAAATGCCGACGTGTGGCATGACATTCAGGCAATCAAAGGAGGTTTCGATTGAGATTCCATATTTGTATGTAATTGGCAAGCTTCCCTACCGGGGACCTTGCCAGCGAGTCTCTTTCGGTCTGGCTGGGAGTCATCCAGTGAATAGAACTTCCTTCGATTGTCCTCTTCACTTTCTCTGGATTTGAGCCGCATTGTGATTTCACCCAGGCTCATCACCAGTTATGGAAGTGCTTGTCAGGCAAAACTCGAACGATCATATCTTTTATCACAACCGAACTCACCCTCAGAAGTGAGAACGACGCGTCCTCCACATTACAACTATACCGATCTATTGTGGAGGCCCCACCCTATTGAGTGAAGCCCCGATTTGAACCATGCCTCCTCCACGATTAACAGGAGTCTCCTTTGACAGCTTAACCTGTTTAAACAAATGATCTGAGAAATTCGAGTGTCTTTCCTTGTATTCTCTATGGGAAAATATCAAGTACTGCATGAAAGGTACTGGAGTTTTAAAGTAATGAGTTACTCCCTGATTCCACTGAAAAAAGTGGCTATATAGGCGCCATCTCGCACCATCTGTGTGAAGTTTTTTGTTCAAATTACGGTGATAGATGTCTCATCCTAAGACATGAAATAAGTTGGCTGCCGCCCTACCGCCAATGTTGGGCCTACATGGGCAGCCCACTGTGATGTGGTCCCACGCTCCCCCACTAGCAGCCAACATGGACTCAATGTGGTGTGCTGCCGTGGATGTTTCTTCTGCACTTTTAACCATAAACATGCCGCTCGTTATAAATGTGCTTATTTTCACAGTTTTTCTTTCATCAATTGCTTTTTTAAGTTGTAATAGATTTGGAGTTGTATTAGTGAAAGTTCCACGCTGACGTACTGGCATATACGTCAAGTAAATAATTTCAATATGACCGAGCCTGAATTTACATGAAGTTTATTTCTATTATTAATAATTGACATATGGTGTAGCCTACTATGGATTGAAAGTGCCCTACATCTATATCATTCTGAAACATTCTTTATATACCACTGTTCGTCTCTAGCAGCATGCTGATTGACTTAGAGATAGATATACATGTTAAGGAGACACAGCTTTCATGAGAGACAAATAGATTAACTCATATGCTTTTCTGTAATATGGCCTCATTTTGCAGAAAAACATTCTCTCCCTCATTCTTTTGCCAAACTCGGGGATTTCATGCGAAATCAACGCAAATCTTTTACCTGACTTTGATCATTTGTTTTGTGGATGTATAGGACCCATTGAGAAACCGGTGTACACTAAATTTCAGCTTATTAAATCTTTTTTTTTAACACTGATATTGCAATATTGCCAAAAAGGTGCCGATTTCTTTTCCAGTGATCACCACTTTAGTGCCCAAGAGTTTTGTCTATTTAATGTAGAGAGATTAAATAATTGTCCTTTCAGGCTCTTTTGTCGGAGATAGGTTAGATAGGTTCATGCCCTTTCAGAATATGTGAAATTACTTTAAATGTCATAAAATAAAGGTCAAGAGGTTTGAACTTAGTTCTTTGACTTTGGAGAAAAGGTCAGCTTTATTTTAAGCAGCTTAACAATTGACATTCCCAACTTTTACTCTTTTCAATGCGTCAAATTTGGCCAAATGTCGCAAATTGAAATTTAGCGCATCCAAAAAGAAAAACTTGGAAATATAGCGTTCATTTTCTGTAAAAAATTTAAATGATCTTGTCTCCGAAATCGAAGGTAGATGATCAAACCGTTCGAAAGTCTACCTTCATTTTAATGAAACTAACATCATATTAGAAGGCATTAGTGCTAAAAAAAAACTATTAACCCTTTGCAGTCCTATTATTTTTAAGTTTCGCAGGCCAAAAAGTCCAATTTTTTGCACTGTTTTTATTATTATTGAAATAGGTTCGAATGAGGTTTTATTACTTCTAATGAAAAAGAATGTTATATTATCGCCACTTTAAGCTAAGCACAAAAGAGTCAAAAACATCCAAACTTGTTTCTTTCTTGATAATTAATCCTTATAATTTTCCTTCGTGCGGTACTTTTTGAAGCACTTTTCTTTGACTCAACGCTCTCGACGGCGCTGCCCTGGATAAACTGGCCTTATGTAAACAATAACTGCGCGGTTTCAATAAAGGACGTGAGTAACGATGTAAATAAACATAGCATCGCATCCTACAGATAATATAGGACCTGAGAGATCGCGTGTCTTTTCATCCTGGGGATGAGATAGGACCAAATTGCAGTGTTATAAATTTCATCCCGGGGATGAGGTTGGACCGCAAAGGGTTAATTTCATCACTCTACGTTAATTAATACAAAACATATGGGCAAATGAGTGATGACCACCGGACTAGAAATCTCACTCATCTTGGTAATATCAAATCGCAATGCGTCACAAAGCACTTGATCTAGGAAACTGAAAATTAGAGTGGATTGGTTTTTAAATTGGTTACAAACCCACAAATACTCATCAAAATCGGAGTGGATCTGGTAAATTTTCTCATTTTGTGCCGATTTTACATGGAACCTTATTAGTATCCGATATCCTGCGCATTGCTACGTTTAACTGCATACACAGCTTATAGCCATCTGGCATTTCCCCATAGTACCTATGGGAATGCCAGATTAACTTTTTAGTTAATAGTGCCAAAAAGTAATATACCACTGGGTGAAGGAGGAAGTAACCTACCTGTGACAGAAGGAAAGAAAATCCCAATGAATGCAATGAAGGAGGTCGTAATATCTGCTTGGACGAATGGTGTGGAGTAATCAATGACACCAACCCCACTTGCACCATCCTTCTCATCGAATTGCGTCAGGTACGCTCCAGAGTAAAAATAAGACGACTTGACATTCCCTGTAATGATAAAGTGGATTCCAATTTCTTGACCAAGAAAAACGCATCGAGATAGAACACGGACCTTTAAGACTAATAAAAATAAAAGAACTTTGATAGTGGTTATGATATTAAAATGTTCAAAATTCTCTCATCTTTAGGTCCTATAAATCGCCTGAGAAAATGTACTGTATCTATAACCATCAACAGAAACCAATGCCTACCTGACCTCATACATGAATAATTTACTTATCACCATTCATGCAAGAGAAAGAAGCAAAAAAAATTTGATTCAGACCCGCCTTGATTGTATTTCATTCTTAATAAATACAGTTCCTAATAGCAATCTAGAACTAAGTTCTGGTGCTCATGCATACGCAAACTATGCGTCGTAAAGCTGTAATATTTGGTGTGAACACTAATGGGACCATGAGGAAGAGGTATATAGGGTTATCGGATATGGCCACCAGCATTTACTCAATAACTACATTTGCTCAATGTGACCTCCCTCCATTTCTACGATTGCTTGCATTCGGGATATGCAATGATAGACGGCTGACTCAAGCTGTCCAGTATCCAACATCCAACATGCCAATGATAGGCATGACAAGCTTTTAATGCCCTGCAATGAGAATGATGGAATGCTGCTTATTCTCCATTTCGCCATGCATGTCCTTTCTGTCAAGCTGTATGGCAGGGTCTTTAGTGCACGTCATAATTGCACTGGATGATGCCATGCCTATACCAGTGAATGTGAAATGCAGAGTTATACAGTTTTGCTTGTTGATATTCACCAGGGACACAAAATGCGTATATATAGGTCTATTGAAACTTGCTGTTCAAATCGCTCCCGAATCCCAGGCAAGATCTTTTGTGAACTGCAAGAAGAACGTATAAAAATCCGCGAACCGACGTCAACTAAGCCCAGTACCGACAGACTCTATGCTACACGGATTTCACCAAAATCAAGCACCAGGAGTCTAAAGTGTTCCCATTAAAACTCACTTAGAAAGGCGGTGGAACCTAGTCCAGGGATGCCAGGGGCCAACCGAACATCGTGCTCACTGAAGTATGGATCGCATTCATAACTGCTTTCACTGTCAGGATTAGAAGTATTATCTTTTAATGAACAGAGGGACATGAAGAGTGGGGTTCCAAACTCCTTCGAACAATTCCCTCCAATTTTGTCTTGATTGAGGAGGCGAGTACCCAATAAGCACATCCTGAAACAATGAGAAAATCCATTAATAATCTGCCTCTAGAGTATATGAGATTAAGTAAGACACTGTCTTACATCAGGCTGTCATTCCCATCCACATTCACGAATATTCCTACATAGATTGCCAATATGGACAAGAGCACGCAAGCAAGAGCCACACTTGCAAACTTCTTCACCAACTTGACCAAAATGAAGATGATACAACAAAGAAGAAAAAGCAAGACAGTGCCATAAAGACGGAAGTTGTTGAAACGGGCTTCTAGATCCACTTGAATATCTCCGCCAACAGACATGCCAGGGGCTATGTAGAGCTAAAATGGCAAAAGACAACAAAATGATGAGAAATTCAAAAGATAGTTAATGAAGGTGAGGGATCGAACTCAAAGTACCAGAAGAATTTCAACAGCTCCAATAATGTACATAGCGCCTGCAACTGTTGTGCCAAAATAGAAGAGCAGACCGACAGCTCCACCAAATTCCGGGCCCAGGGCTCGTGATATCATATAATACGAGCCCCCAGCTGGTACCACTCCATTTGTAGCTATTGCACTCATTGAGATGGATGTCAGAAGTGTCTGGTGCAATAGGAAATTCCATATAAATTAAAATGCTGCTTGACTGCAAAGGTATTTCAAAAAGAAAGCTGAAAGGATCCTTACAACACAGCAGCATGTGAAGACAATCATGAAACCCTGTAAAGCGCCTGCAGTGCCAACAATCCATGGCAATCTAATGAAGAGAATGACTCCAAAAATGTTCTGCAAGCATGGAAGATAGACACCAAACAGAGTAGCCATTTGAGCACCACTAGTCCTCTTTGAGTTTGGGTCAGTCGGAGCAGCGCCAATCGCAACACTGTGATCTCCCAAAGAGGTAAGAAAGGTTGCCACTTTGGTTCGCCCTTGTTGCTCTTCCTGGATCACAAAATAAGCCATCTTTGATGCTTCTATCCATAAATTGATTAGCACTGACTATAGACGAGTGACTTGAGGCAAACTTGTCATCAACTATAGAAACTCACATCATCTAAGTGGAGATCATGAAATGAATAAGCTTCATTCAGAACATCCGTTGGACATACTCCTGAAATACTCTCCAGTGGGTACGGCGGACATCAGCTGGATGTACTAAAAAAATACCTTCGTAGCGTCAAATTAACATGCACTCTGAAGTGCATTGCTCTCTGCCCCTATTACATCCTGTACTTGAACCCCTTCCATTCATGTCCATCTGAATGAACGAGCATGAGGGGTATTGACTTCTCCAGATCTTCTGTTTCGGTTCATATGGGAGCTGAAATAAAAGATCTATGAAGATAATAGAACTCATCATATGGAGTTATCCCACCGTCCGCCCAAGCCTCCCATTAATGGTAAGATGCTCCTCATTGCCAAGGACGGCTCGAGCTAAAAGATAAGCAATTTCCCCTGGACTCATCTGAAGAGGGTTCCCCTTCTTAGGGAGGGTTAGAGGGTAAAATTACCTGGAGTCTCCTTGAGCTGAGTTTCCACTCTTGAAAAATATATTAATAACATCTACTCTCCCCTTCTGCTTGAAGGTGGAAATATTTCAAATACAGGATGAAAGCTACCGCAGAGCCATCCGATTACATCGGAGGAATAGAGGTACGCTCAGCGGGGAGTTCAGCGCGACCACACGGATATTTTCGGGACTATTTTTACGGAATGCACTGCTAGATGTCAGGCGAGATTGAAGGTCTAATGCGCACTCCAGGCATCCTACGGTCATTCGTAAAACATCTGCCCTGGGATCGATCTCATGCATCCATCACATGTCGACCAGAAGAACCCCCAAAAAAGGGACTTTCGACTGGATTCAAGCTCGGGTCCCTGCCGGGGAGCTGTGCTTGATCCCAATCGCACCACTCTTAACTTTTGAGGTATGCCCACTGGATATCCACTGTACCCAATAGGTTGTTTGCGGATGTGAGGATCGAATCGAGGATCGGACGAAAGGGGAATTTCTAGTGGTACCTGGGATGAGGTGGAAGGGAGATAAAACATTTGCAAGTGGCATGGAAACATGTCAAAATAAAATTACAAGCAATTTAGTGTTCAAATCAAGAAAGAGAACGGAACAACGTCGAGACGGTATTGGCATAGAAGTGCTCCGACCATGTGAAAAAAAATTTTCTCTCTGGTTTAGATTCAGAGTTAAATTAATTAATCTACTGCTCCATAGTGGTAGCTATGTTTTCAGTGAATTTTTACAGCAAGATATACATGAAGACGATCTTGATATCGGAGGAAAGGAGAAGCAGCTTGAATGTATTTGCTCAAGAGCAACGGTTGGTTTTTCATTTTTCTCTTCTTCCATCTTCAGACGGTCTCAGGCTTGCAAAAATCAGCATAAAATCCCAATTTATTCTATTTTCGGGGGAAAAGCAGGACCTTTACACTCCGCAACTACGATAAGAGGAAAAGGACAAACAAGATAAAACTTAGCACAAGAGCAGAGAATTGTGAGAAAAGCAACACTATCAAAGGCGCAGAGAAAGGCTGTCTGCACTCATAACCTGACTGCCAACAACCACATGAAAGTTAAAGAGCCTGCTTCCTTCTACTCCAGGTCATAAAAGTTCGGAGAAGACTAAGGGGTCCTCTTGGAAACGATAAATTGATTACGAGTAGATGGTGATCACTTCCCGTCCGCTACCACGCACCATCAGCACTCTTTCCAGGCCTTCTGTCAAAATCTCCAAGAATGCCATGTCTGTGATGATATTAGTTCAGGAAAAATGGGGAGAGGATGGTTTCGCTCGATGTGCATTTAAAATGTATCATGTAATTTGGTGGAATGTGGCCCTAAAATATGAAACTTGAAACCTGGCCCATCAAGTTCGATTTTGCCTTTGACAATGTTTAGAAAGTATTGAATGCAACCTCCTTTACTCAATTCCAGCAAGGTTCATGCAAAAAACGCATGGATAATGCACATTTGGGTGCATTGCAAGTTGGTCCCCAGAGGCCATGTTACCCTCTTGCTGAGGAAATATGGTCAGGTATTAGGGGTAATATGGGCACTTCTCAAAACGTAGGGGAATACACTCGAATTCCTAAATTATTTTGTTTAAACAGGTTAAGCAGTTCAAGGAGACTCCTTTCAATCGTGGAGGAAACATGGTTCAAATTGGGACTTGATTCAAAAGAGTGAGGATTAATGCCAGTGTTCCTTCAATTTTGGAGGCTGCGTTTGGCTCCCCTTCAGAGGTTGTACTGTAGATTCGGGTGTGATAAAAGAGAGGATCACCCAGGAGGTGTAGCTGGACAAGCACTTTCAGAGAGGAAATGAGCCGTAAAGTGATGAATGAAATTACAATGGAGTTCAAATCCCGTGCGGAAAGTGAAGGTCTCTAAACATGACAATCGAGGGAAGTAATACTCGCAGGAATACTCCCAGCCAGATAGAGAGACTCGGTGGCAAGGCCCCGGTAGCAGAGCGGAACAATGACGTACAAATATTGAAACTCACTCTAAGCCTTCAAGCGCCTGAAAGTCATGACACACGTCAGCATTTCATGTAGGCCCATTGTGGGCTTCCAACTTTACCCCAACGTGGAGACAAATATTGGCTTGACCAGCCTTTCGACCGAATTGATAGCCAACAGTGGTGCTGGCAGACGGACTTAAGTCGGGTTTGCAAGCCCCTGAAAAGCTAGGTACTACCTTTTGATTAAATTTCAAAGCTTTAACGCCTAACGGCAGAAACAATCTGGATAGGTTGTCATGTTAAGCCTTAACCCCCTAAAGACGCAGGTCGCATGACAATTTCTGGGATTTTTCTTCACTGTCCTTCCTCTTTTAGCTTTCTTCAGCCTTGCCCTTTTCTGCAGGCTTACTTCCCATAGTCTAGTCATTCAATCTATCAGGTTTGATTCGGGAGCGGGGTTTTTTCCCCCATGGCCTTGATTGGTTTGGGTGGTAATGGCACCACAGTTAATTCCCCATTTACCATCTGTGCGCCTTGGTTGGAAGCAGGCTACTGCCCTACGAAGCATTCGCCTAATAAACCGCTTTAAAAATCGTAGGACTATAACAAGAGTCTCAAAGCGACTCGACAAAGGTTGCAGCCTAGCTTAATTAGGAAAAAAATAAGACTAAGGTATGCAATTTATGAACATCTACCAAAAAAGTTAAATACAGATGGAAAAATCAGTCTGAAGCTGCATCAAACAGGAGGGGCAAGGACGCCATGATTGTGATTCGGAAGAAAAAGGATACAATTCACGTCCGAGTCTCTCTTGGTGGCCTTCGGAGGCTCAGGCAAGTTCAAGACTACCAATTGGGCCTCATGACTTCGGGAAAGAATCACTCCATTCAGCTTTGAAGCTGTGTGCATCCTACGCACATTGACCTCCGTCCTGCGGAACCAGAGTAAGAATTAATTCATCTATTTAAATAGCTGCAGGTTTCAACCTTGGAAGTTTGACTCACAGTTTTCTCTTCACGGAGCGGGTATCAGATTTTCTTTCCTTTATACTCTCATGTTTCTTATGTTTCATCTCTTCTATGGGGATCGGAGAAATTTTGTTTTGATCCAGCTCGACAGCCTTACCGTCTATGTGATCATTGGCCATGTTCTGCTTCCAATCCAGCACGTATAGAAAGAATTTGCAGGAACTCAATGGAGAAAAAGTCTGCACAAAGATCTCACCTTCTCCGAAGAGTCAGAAGGAGGAGACGATGCTGCCTCCACCTTCCCATGGGCTTGAATTGGAGTTTCTCCAAAATGAAATAGACTCTTGGATTCCTTCTGGTCTTCATCAGGTTCACCTTCCAGATCTCTGATGTGTTGAATCTGTTCAGGGATGGAAGTTCTTTTCGCTCCATTTGTGTGAATAATGTACAAAGATCTGAAGACGTCACAGACGTCTCCACTCATTCTCCACTGATGTTCTCCATTTTATAGGATCTGCTATGGCTTCTTAAATTGGCCAGCATTACAAGATGACAAATAAGTTTTGTCCCTTCGTTTTTTTTTTAACCTGTACCAATACCAAAGGAAATTTTAAAAAAACCCAATGGATTTCCTAAATACTAAACAACATGCAATGTAACATTTTAGTCAAAGAGTTATTCAAAATGTCCACCACGTGCTTTCACAAGCATTTAAGCGACGGCGCCAGTCGAAGACTGCAGGATGCAATCTCTTGAGGAATCTCCTTCCTTGCTCGAACAAGGGACTGCTTCAGCAACTCAACACTGGTGTGTGGGTGAAGGTAGATCTTGGCTTCCAAGAGCGACCCGAGGGTGTAGTGCAAGGGATTGAGGTTTGGAGATGGTGGGGACAAATCGGTCCACTTGATGAAGTCTGGCACATTTAACTCCAACCATTGCTAAGTCATTTTGACGAAGTTGGCTTCTTGGAACCACCACAGTGGTTTTTTAAGATTTTTCGACCGCAGTGCTTTACCACAGGCTCAAAAATCAGCTCGCGGTACCGATATATATCCCCTTTGGCTCCTTCCGGGACAAAAAATTGTTTTTGCAGCCATTTGCTGAAACCCCACCGAAAGCCATCGCTCCACTCGGCTTCTGCACCGGGAAACGATTCTCTGCTCAGAGGGTATCTCCACTAAGCTGGTAGCCAGCAAGCAATCGTTATGGGCATTGAAGGCCTGCTGTGTCGTAAAGACCCAATCGGCATAACAACGTTGTGTCAACGTTGAGAAAAGGCTGATGGAAATGTTGCCTCAATGTTGAGAAAAGGTTGATTTTTCAACTTGACTTTGGTCTCAACGTTGCCCCAATATTGAAATGAAACACGTTTCAGCGTTGAAGAGGTGCTGTTGTGTAACCTTGTGTCAATGTTGAATTGTCAACGTACGGGCATTATATAGCCTCCTCCCTTATCCATAGTCTGAAAGAGCGTTAATTAGCCGATGAGATTGAATCTCGAATTCGAGAATCCCACGGAGAGTACCCAAATGGTATGATACAAGCAGTACTCTATTGAGTACACTCATCCCACGTAAAGGATCCTCAAGAGCTTATTTCCTTTCTGAATAAGAATTCAAATTGAGTACTTACATGACTCAACTCTCTCGGTTCAGTAGGCTAAAGAACAACCCACGCGCTTAGTTTTCGTGCTCTATCCTCTATGGAAGAGCTCGAGTGAATGCAAGTGCCATGTGGAGATTTAGGAATATTGAGCATATCTCCTCGGATCCACTCCCCGGAAGTACTTTCCCAGCAAACAGTAGCGTTGTGGGAACGTCCCGCCAGAGTCAATACAATGTCATCGACGTTGAAGGTCAAAGAGCTTGCGTGAATATTGTAGCAGTGTTATGGCATTGTGATACCTTCTTAAATCGCATTTTAAAATAATATTTATGGTAGTATCATGGAACATGCATCGCCAAATAGGGAAAACAAAATTTTCGCAAAACGAACAAGAAACCTATCCAGTGTTACTACTCCTATAACACCAGATATTGGGTCAATGCTGGACCAACATTGGGCACGATGTCTACATGCATCTTACCATTATTGCCAATACCGGCTAAATATTGGCTCAATATTGGCTTCCCAATATTGTCATTCCATCATCGATGCAATATCAGACTGACGCGATGATTCAATGTGCCCAATTTCCACGGAGGAGTTAATTTTGTGGAAATGTTAAAGTTCTCCTCTTGGCTACTAGATGGGTCTCGCTTGGGTCTCGCTTTTCGCACAGTACACAAAGTACACTTCCCTCTTTCCATGGAATCATCCCTCACAGGAGTGTTTAATACCTCACCATGTTTTTCCTTGCTTCATTATAAAAATAAAAATAGGACACTTATTAATTTATTATCCATATATTCGAGGCAGAAAGGAGTCCAGGCAATAAACAAGCTCATACTCCCTAGGAGAAACCCTTGAATCCAAATACGTAAATTCTTGGATATAACTTTCTACGAACTCGATTATGTGCTATTAGTTCTATCCTCCTTAATTGGGAGGTAGAATGACTATTCTACCCCAAGCGAAGGAAAGGAGGATTTCAGTACTCTCCAGAGCAGGAAAGGAATAGCCGTTCCCTGTGAAGTACTAAGATTAATACTTTCAGAATAATATTTAGTCTATTGCCTTCGTTATTGACCAAACATTGGAATGCTACAAGGGTGGGAGTGAGCATTCAAATAAGTGACATTGCAATGTTGGCTCAACGTTCAGCCAGTGTTGAGATTCAACGTTATCTGAGTGTTCGGATAAGCGACATTGCAATAATGACTTAATGTTAGCTGCAACACCAACCAAACACTGGGAAGGTTCAAAATTAACGTTCATGCAACACTGATAGAATGTTAGAATGTTTCCTGGGTTGAGTCTCCTACCTTATTACCTCCTTAAACAAATCTATCTAGAAATTCCTATATCTTCCCTTATATTGCAAATGGGAAAAGATCGGGTTCTGTATGAAAAATGCAGGGTACTGTTTATTTCGGGGCATCCGGGTAAGAATCGGCGGTTAGGCGCCATCTCTCGTCGATTCGTAGAACCTGATATTCTATTGATACGATGTGGATAACTTCACGTAGAAACAACAATGAGAATACGATGAAAAACGAATTTATTTCTAATACCCTCTGAACGACTTCCCTAATTCACGAGTAGTGAATGCTGAAAATACGGTTAATTACGAATAGCTAGCATTTCATCTACGAGGGGTGTTCGAAAAGTAATAGGAATTTTGAATTTTTTCCCAATCAACATATTTATTCATCATTATTTACACTTAACTTTTCAATATAATCACCCTGGAGTGCAATACACTTTTTCCAACGAGAGACTAACTTCCTAAGGCCATCATTAAAGAATTCCTTTAGTGTGCTTTTAGTCCAACGT